TTTTTTTTTGGTCTTTTTGAGACAGGGTCTCTCTGTAGCCTCACTATGTAGACCAGGCTGGCCTTGAACTCACAAAGATCCACCTGATTCTGTCTCCCAAGTGCTGGGATCAAAGGCGTGCACCACCATGCCCGCTTGTAGAACTCACTATATAGACTATGGTGGCCTTGATCTCACAGAGATCATCTGCCTCTACCTCCCGAGTACCAGGGATTAAAAGCATGTGCCACCACATCCAGCTAGAGCTGGGTTTTGAACACAGGGAACTGCCAGGTGTCTCTGACCAGAGTAGAAACATAGAAACGGGGGCCAGGAGACTCGGGGAGATGGGGAAGTACAGGGCTGTTGCTGCCCACTCCCTGGCCACATAGGACAAGGGAAGAGCGTAGAGCAACCCTACCACCTGGACAGGAAAAGGAAGCCCAGGTCTCCTAGAAACTACCTTACATCTCAGTGGGGTACAGGCCAGAATCTCCCTCAGCTCAAGCAGCTGGAACTACTCTAAGGACCCCACACTGCACAAGTCAGGCCATTAATGGTCTCCAAGATCACCAGGAATCTCTCTCCATGGTCAAATGTCAGATGCCCCCAGTATGTCCCTTATACCAAGAAACTATACCTAGAGCCATAGCTCCCTCCTTACCCCCTAAGGTGCGTGCTTACAGAAATGGGGTCGGGGAGCTAGGTTAGCTGGGGTGCAGCGCTAGAGGACCCTGTGACTCCCAGGTGGGAGCAGCTGGAGAACTGGACAGTGTCAGTCTGGCACTGCCATGGAGATGTCAACAGGAGGGGTCAGAACCCCTGCATGAACTAGGTAGGGGCCCTCTGGACCAGTCCTCTTTCCTCCTTTCCTGAGGGCCTCTGGGGCGCAGCCAGGGCCCAGCTCATGGGGGGGCTCTGGCAGCTCAACTTCTGAAGCAACTTGCCAGCTTCCCTCAAGTCTCTGGCCGCCTCCCCTCATCCAGGCCGTGCCCCCCTCCCGGGTGATGTCAGCCCCGCCCCGCCCCCCCGAGGGAGCATGTGGCCAAATATGGCGAACAGAGCAGCCAGGGAGCTGGGACAGACTGGGGGGGGCGGGGCGGTCCCTGGCTGGGACCGCTGGCAGCTGGGGAGGGAGAGGGGCACCAGGGGGCGGGAGGGTGTGTCAAGGAGAGAGAAGGAACCCCAACCCCCCTCTGGTTCTTGGGCACCTGTCTAGGGACACCCCTGGGAGGCACAGCGCCCACCCAAGGGCTTGCAGGTGGCACCCCAAAACAACAGCCCCACACAACAACACATGCCCTGTGTGGGCAAATGCTTCGGGGGCTGTGGTCTTCTCTGAGGACTCAGGAGGGGACAGAGGCTACTGTAGTGAGCAGCGCTGGCCTCCAGGGGTTACTGTACTGCAGTTGGTTGGTGAGGACAGCAACTGGGGCATGCCCACCCCCAAACTGAGACCACACTGGAGACAGAAGCCTGGGCCCCCTTTAGAAATTTTGAGGGGCTGACTCGCTGGGGCAGGAGGGTGAAGAAAGTGGCCGTCTCCCACGTAGTACTCCTGGAGGAAATAGAGATGGGGGAGATGGGCCCAGACGGACAGGTACTGCAGTTGGTTGGTGAGGACAGCAACTGGGGCATGCCCACCCCCAAACTGAGACCACACTGGAGACAGAAGCCTGGGCCCCCTTTAGAAATTTTGAGGGGCTGACTCGCTGGGGCAGGAGGGTGAAGAAAGTGGCTGTCTCCCAGGTAGTACTCCTGGAGGAAATAGAGATGGGGGAGATGGGCCCAGATGGACAAGCAGGTCCCAGAATGCCACTCGAAGACAAGAGCAAACAATGGAGTGAGCAGATAGAGAGAGACCAGCTAGAGCAGGATAGTCGATTAGTCGATTATTACATAGGCGCGGGGGGCGGGGGGTTGGTCTTTTTGATTATTACACTTTTTTTTTTTGGTCTCCTGATTATTACACAGGACAGGTAGACAGATAGACAGCTGGGATAGTAGGAGGGAGAGGAGTTAACCGCCTCTTCCCGGCTCAAGGCTGAAGAGGCAAAGGACCAGGATAGGCAGGGCAGATAGGTCAGGGGCTAGGGCAGACTCAGGAGAGGGGGCCAAGGAAGGGGTTGAGCAGGGCCAGGCTTAGTCCCTCCTCCTCCCACAGACCCTCTCCCCTACGCTGGAGTTTCTGCAGCATTCCAGCTTCCAGAGACTTCCTCAGCTCACCCTTAGCCTGCAGGCCAGCCATATCTGCCTTCTCATTCCCAGATCCTTGGCCTGGGGGTCAAAAGGTGCCTCTGGCCAGTGGCAAAGATAGAGGCCAGGAGGCCCAGGGAGATAAGGGACCCTGGCTGCCCACTCCCCACCCTGGGGCCAGACCTGCCTGCAGAACTAGCTGGACAGCTCCAAATGGAGGCCCTGTCTCTCCAGACCACACCAGCCCTGTGGCTCCCTCTAAAGGGGACGACCAGGCAGGCCTGGGCCAGGGGCTTCTTGAGTGCTGGTGCCCTGGTGGGGACACAGCAGAGGCAGGGCAAGTTGGCAGGCGGCATCTCCCT